TCACGAGATTTAAGAAAAAGAAGTGAAAGTTCGAGAATGACGTGGCGTGATACTAGTCACGTGACCTCGATGTCGTAACAAAATCATTCTATCCACAAATTATATTGAGTATTCTGCGCTCACGGATCGTTTGCCAATAAATTTTTGACGACTGTATACTGCCACCTCTATTGGCAAAATTCTATACTATTTATAAATACGTTGTGAAAAACACATGGGTGTCTCAAGCAGAAATCATAATAAACTTTTAAACCTTTGTGTTTTTCTATCTGTATACACACTGAAAAAGGTAGTCATTTAATTTCCATTGCTAATTGCAAAATTACAGCCTAAGATTTCACCAACCACAAATTACTCATTAAAAAAGTTTACTGGTAGTGAATAAAAACTCGAAATTAAACAACAACCTTTCAATTCTCTTTATTTTAAATATATTTTTCTCTTACACAAGTACACTCCAGGAACTTGTTGTTATATTTCAATACTTTTAATTTTTTGTTTCATCTTACGTGTCCAATTTTAATAAAAATTGCACTCGTCATATTTTGTTTTATTATTAATGTATGTATTTTTTTACAAATCACTAATGATGGAATTTGTAGATTTTGAAAAAGTTTATTAAATATTTTTACAATTGCTGTTGTGGTGCTTCTCTTTTTAATTAAGTTTTGCTTTACATCTAGTGAATCGAATGGATGCTACAGTTTATCCCAGACAAACTTTCAAAAGGCATAAAATTCAAATTACGCATTTCATTTCTACTAATTAAAACGATTGAAAAAGGTTATACTTGCTGTGGATTATGCCTTAACTTTGGTTGAGTCTATATGTATGAAAATGTTTGTTTTTTGTATTTTTTCTTGGGGTACATAACAATAATAGCCATGTTGACAGTTTACTTTTCCTTATAATTTATGGAATCCATTTATTTTTAATTTGGAACTTCAAAAAAAGAAAAAGAAAAGAAAACAAATCTTAAATTTATTCATAATATCAAACAAAACATTGATGGGTACAGAAACAGTCTTTTATTTTCGTCTCCCTCACAGCGAGGACCGTGTAAGCAACATTTTGTGAAAACGCTACAGATGGTTTCTTTTCCTGCAACAACTCCGATGATTTCCTGATTTCGGCCACCTGGGTAAGTTTCTGGATCACATTTCATCGGTGTCTCAGTGAGGGAACTGAGAAGAACTGTGGATAATGTTTGGGTGGAAAGCTTACAGGAAACAGGGTGACGACCTTTACAATATACAGATACAAATCCGAGAAAAAGTCAGCAAACTCCTAGTAACCGGTGAGCTCTGCAAAGGTCTGGTCCAGGTCGTCTGAGATGGCCTTGTATTTCTCCTTCTCGTGGACGAGGTCATCTGGAAGAAAATTCAACAGTTAATTTAAGAACGATATCTTAATGTCTCAGAAGGTGTAAGGATTAATATAATATAATATATATATATATCTGTTCTTTAAATATCCTTACCCATAAAATCTATTATGAACACATTTGAATTCATTAAACTGAACTTGTAAAGTTTGTTAAATGAGAGAAATGAATAGAAGTGTAACAAATATAACCTACTAATATTGGATTACTGAATATAATACTATACCGACTGTAGATAACGAAAATTATACTATATCTATCTGTATGACTGAATTTTACAGATAAGAAGAACACGTTAAAATTACGTAACTAACTACCAGAGCGGTAATTGATAAATATTTTTAAATCTCTCCTTGCAGTGTCGTAGAAACTTCATTCCTGACAAAATATTATGGAAATTTTGAATCAGGAAAATACAGCTTAGTAGACAACAAGCTTTTGGACACGTTAAATTACAGGGTATTTTTTTTTTTTTCATTTAGATAACAACTAGATTTTGTTTAGAACTGAACTCACGTATACGAATTAAGGAAACATTACATAAGTATTTTATCACTCGGGGAATGTCAAGTTATTTTATTTTAAACATTATAGCTTAAACCTTCATACAAACGTACTCACAGCTCATATAACGAGCTTATACTAACTCTACGTTTTTTTTTCTCTGAATTTTATTAACGATAGAGCTCGAAAAAAAAAATTATGCGTTAGTCATCTGAAACTGAGGACAAGTATATCGCTTCAAAAACAACAATCGAAGATAACTGGACTTTCAACTTTAGCATTAATGTACAACGAAACCTTATGCATACCATACTGTGCAAGTTAAAATATTCTACATTATCACTTAGTAAAAACAGGAGCAAATCAATAACCGGCTTTTTCTGTGCATTTTCAAATGAAATGGGAAGCTACATTTGAGGACAATTGGTAATATATATTCTTCAGAACCAGGTAGAACAATTGTTTTACAAAGATATCAAGGACAAATGGAACGATTGAAAGGTTTCTTATTCTTACAGTAATGGATAAAATGGTAATATTTTCTGTTTCCTTGTAATAACACATATGTAAAAATATGTTATTCATATGTACTATATGCTAAAAGAATAAGAAGATAATGAGACACGTTATGTACCTTCCAGCCTGTCCACTTCCTTCTGGAGTTTCTGCACTGATCTCTCAGCAAATTCGGCACGAGCTTCAGCCTACACCATCACATTAAAACGCTATTAATTCATCGCTTTATAAAAATACAATTTCACATCTCATAAGCTCATGTATTAGATTGTTTTCAGTTAACATTGTATGAATCACAATGAAGAGTCGGAATTTGAATTCCTTTATCAAACTAAGAAGAATACCCTGCACTCATTGCTAGAAAAAATTATAAGTATTATATTTAGCATTGTTTTATTTCCACTGATAGTTTTGGAAAAGAAATCAAATAGCAGAGATAATTTTTGGTTTGTCTAAAAGCCTTAGTTAAATGATAATTTGAATTAGAAGGTTAATTAAAACAAATAAAAAAAATAACTTGTCGCTTTGATTTAAATGAAAAAAAAAAAGGTTTTTCAAAAGCTTTCTGGAAGTAATAAAATAAGTCGAGTTTCGTAGGATTCTTCTTTGTGCAGTGCCTAAATGTGTTGAAAAGAAACTGTTAGTTAAGTTATAACATTTCAGAAGGTTAATACTTACCTCCTTTAGTCTGGAAGTCATGCTTCGGATCTGGGTTTCGTAAGCTTCCTCTCTTTGCTGAGCCTATAGAAAAGAAAGGAATGATAAAAAGTTTAACTGCAGTAAAAACCTCCTGTTAGCTTATGTCATTGACAGATTTATTCAAATATTACACAAAAAGTAAAACAAAACTGAATTAAATTCTCACATTTTTCAAAGAACCATGCAGAATCTGATTTTCAACAATTGTTTGTCAGTTTGAATCAATCTCTTGATACGGAAATATGTCATCAAACGCCAATAAGATACGTTCATATTTCAAAAAGACAAAGAACTGATTGTAAAGCGGTTTCCAGGAAATAAACAAATAATAAACATTTGTTTATTGGAACTATAGCTTTTTAGAAAACGTAAGTAAAATGTAAAACATTCTGAATGTTGAAAGGGAAGACGACTTCCCACGGCGAAATTTATCCACAAAGTAAAATGTGAGAAAACATATAGAGAAAACAAGCATTATATACATTTATAACTGATAACACAAAAACTAGCTTAAAGTGAAATTCAAACAAAGTAATACGCATCAGACGAAAAGAAGAACAAAAATATGTCAACATGTAAACAATAATCAAATAGGGAAAAATTAAATTCAGTTGCGTCTTTGGGATAAAATACTCTGTGTATCTGAACAAATCTCAATGTTAAGCGTAAATATCCATTATAGGTCTGGCCTCAAACATAATTAGAATACGCAAAAATACTATTTTAAATTTCAATAATTGAACTTGAAAAATGATAAGCAAATAAAAACAAAAACCATAACAAACTAGGTCGTTAATACAATCAGAGTACAAAGAAACAATAAAACAAACAAAAGGAGGAACAAACACTGAGTAAACCAAACAGGTACAAATGAAAACTGGAATTATTTTAAAGTAATTTTAACATAAAAGAAGGAGAAGAATGTATAATAATATCAAGAAAGTGGAAAAAATAACACGTACTTAAGCAAGCATATGGAGAACAAATAAAAACGATCATTATGTAAAGCAGAACAGAAGTCACGCTATTGTTTCCTTAAACAGGAAACAAAAGATAAAACATTGAAGATAAAATTGGTAATCTAATGAATTTAGATGACGAAGTATTTTGATAAATACAAAAACAGTTAAATATCAGAACTGATGAATAATTCATTCGATAATTAGTTTGTTTCATTTGTGTCAAGTTTAAATATCACAAATAATAAAGAAGTATTCTGATAAATGCAACTGATATTTATATTTAGATACCGGGAACAAATAATGAAGCTGTTTGAAGATTTGAAGAATATATATATATCTACATTTAACACCAGGAATGATTAAGAAAAACAACTTTATACAAAAGTTTTTATACCTTTTCTTCGTTAACTTCCAAGGATTTCAAGTTGTTACCGACCACACGTAACTCTTCCTCAAGTTCCACGATTTTGCTGCAAAACAAAAACTTGTATTTAATACATTATTCAGCTATTCAACACGTATATACATACAAACTTGTATTTAATACATTATTCAGCTATTATATTACATTATTCAGCTTTTCAACACGTATATACATACAAACTTATATTTAATACATTATTCAGCTATTATATTATATTACATTATTCAGCTTTTCAAAACGTATATACATACAAACTTGTATTTAATACATTATTCAGCTATTAAACACGTATAGACATACAAACTTGTATTTAATACATTATTCAGCTATTCAACACGTATATACATACAAACTTATATTTCATACATTATTCAGCTATTCAACACGTATATACATACAAACTTGTATGTAATACATTATTCAGTTATTCAATACGAGAATAGATATTCAAGAAGAAATACAGATGTCACTGTTGAAGAAAAAGCACGTAATATCTGGGTATAAGTATGATATTAACTTGTAGGTAGGAAAAATGTTACTAAAGTCGTGCTTCTGGTGTAGAATCAACTTCGATAAAGGAAAATATGGGAATAATATTATTTTAAGAAGAAAATTGAATAAGACGTTTTACTCAAACGTATTTTTTAGAGGATCTTTATTGCCACATGCAATAAGTCTCATCAAGAAAGAAGGGTTTATTTGTTGTTTGTTTTTTGCTCAAAGGTACACAGTGCCTTGTACATTACGGGGAATTAAACACTGGATTTTAAGACTTACGTTTCACCACTCTCAGCACGTTCTTCGGCTCTTTCCAGATCAGCTTCAACCATGGCCAACTTACGGGCGACCTATAAGTAAAAATAAAAACACTGGATCTTAGTAAGCATTTTTTGATTTACTGTTCAATGAATTATTGGCTTTTTTTGGTATTAGATATCTTGTCTGTTTTAAGGAATTTAAATAAATTTCCAGTACTAATTACAGCTTATCTCTTAAGAAGAAAAAACTTCTATCATATTATAAAACCATGTAAATAACATAAGTAATGACGCATTAAGTAGTTAAAATGTATAGAATTGTCATTTAACTCATTTTCAGTTATGAGTGCAGAAGCTTGTTTGATTGTACTATTTAGCTCCAAATCAAAGAGTGGTATGTCTGCAGACTTATACTGATAAAAACCGGGTTTCGATAACCATGGTGGGCAGAGCACAGATAGCCCTTTGTGTAGCTTTGTGCTTAATAACAAACAACAACCAAATCAAAGAAAAACATGTTCCTTTCTCACAGTCCTATTTCGTGTTATTCAATCGTAAATATTGAAACCGATAATGCAAAATTTGATAAGGATATATACACGAAATATATATTTGAAAGTTTTGGTTTGTTTGGAAATTCTTGTAAAACTACACGAGGGCTATATGCGCTAGCCATCCTTATTTTAGCAGTGAAATACTAGAAGTAAGGTAGCTAGTCATCACCACCCACCGCCAACTCTTGGGCTATTCTTTTAGCAACGAATAGTGTGACTGACCGTCACATTATAACGCGTCCACGGCTGAAAGGGCGAGCATGTTTGGAGGGACAGGAATTCGAATCCGCGACCCGCAGATTACGAGTCGGGCGTCCTAGTCGGCCTATAGTTGAAAGTAGTGCTAAAAATAGTATTTTCTTTTATGTTTGATTGATATTTGGTATTTTCACTCTGAAGAGCACTTTAAACAACATGGTTAGGACAGAGATTCCAAGATTTAGGTATAGCCACCCCTAAATACCACGGCCCTAAATTGCGGAGTGGGAGTTTTGCGGTAACGAGATGCAAACCATACATCTTTGGGTTCACAACCTGGCACGTTAACCACTGGGCTACGCCCAAGCCAAGGAAAAATTATACATTGGCAGAGGAATAGCAACCACTTAGCAGCAACTGTTGTCTAAACAGTTTTTATCAACTGAATAGCGGAATTGGTTGCTACAGTTACAACGAACCCAAAGTTGTAAGAGGAGAGCATGTTCAGAGGCAATATTTCAGTACGAACTTTGGACCTCTATATCTGCAACTCAGCAAGCTAACCACTGATTAACAACCAGCTCATGGTTGTTTGGAACTTTCACTTCTTCAGATTATAAGTCTGAAGTTAAATATACAGAGTATATCGACAACAGAAGGGTATAAGTAGCAAAAATAGCTTTTTGTTTTTGATTCTTGAAGGTTGTGTTCTTGCTACATGTTGAATTTTTTAAGTGCGTTTTATCGCGACTTATGTAATTCAGTTTTAACATAGGCATATAAGCAAATTTTTACACCCTGAGACAATAAAAACTCTTCATGAAACTCTCGTTTACATTTACTTTAAGGTTATTTATATCCACATAAATTAAGCATTTGATTCAAGTTTAATCAAACGTTAGTAGCCTGATATAAAAAAGGGAAAATTGCAAACTAGACTGACTAGGTTAGGAAAAGTTTTCCTTATAAACTGTGAACATTCGAAAATAAAAGCTTTTGTGGCGAAATAACCACAATAAAATTTAAAGTCTTCAAATGCAGTACATGATTTGACATTTAAAAATTTATGTTAAGTGAAAGGTCAGGCTTGAATGTTATTCATGCCAAATATTAAGGTTTTAGAAATGATGTAAATAGGATATATACATTTTAGTGGTTTTCTATTGGGTGTAGAGATTACCAGAATTAAATGGTTGTAAAATGTACTACAAGACTGAATGAATTGTAGGCATGCTAGGGCTAAACAAACTAAATATATTGCCAAGGTTATTTAAGGATGAGGACCAAGGTTAAAGAAAAATGGATTGTTAAAAAAATGTATTTTATTAAATAACACTATCAAAACAAAAATAAAGTAACTTTATTCTTAAATTAACTGGGAATTTGCAATTAAGCAAGGTTAAAGTAGGCGTAGGGAGTACGTACATTAGTAAGACAGTTGGTCAGAAACAAAACACCGTATGACACATGCTGCCACAGTCAACATGATGAACAAGATTATCCTTTTTTGACAACAAAGGTAAGTCACCTCATCGTATTTTCTATCGGCATCTTCTGCCATCATACGGGCCTCTTTCAATTGGTTTTCAAGAGAATCCATGCGCTCCTCGTCCGTGATGCTGCGATGTTCCAGCATCTTTCGCATACTGACCAGGAAAAATAAGAGATTATTTTGACATAAATCAACTATGTTGATCAATTATACGCGTAGTCAAATTAATGTTCAGTCACGACATTACCGTTTTTATTTTTAAAATAATAATATTTATCAATATTTATTTCTACGCCATAACTGCAACATTTCACACTTGAAATGTGACACTTTGCACATTAAATAATAGGCTTACATAAAAATATATAGTATCTTATTCACTTAGCTCGTGAATAATCTTACACAACTTAGTATGAGACCCACATAAAATAATGTGTGTAATATTACTCATAAAATCAAATAATAAGCTTACACAAAATAGCCGGCATTTGAGTGGCACGTTTTGTAAAGATAGAAGTGTTTGTTTATTGTTGCAACGTACAGTTACTTCCTGTTACTATAACTCATACCTTAATAAGCATCTATTGTTTTAAGGCAGTGTAGTATTTCAAAGAGATAAATAAGTGGAGTATTTTATTCAGAGGAGGTTAAAAATGGCTCAAGTAAACACCTACCGCTCACTTTCGTCTGCCAGTTGAGATGCTTCCTCCAGCTTTTGGGTGCAAATTTTTAATCTTTCTTCTGACCTCTCGAAGTCTTCTTCTAACAGCTGGATTCGTCTGTTCAAAGCAGCAACTTCACCTTCAGCCTGGGTTTAAGACAAAAGTGTTGGTGAGTAGGTTTCATCATAAAACTTTGTGGAATACCCATTAATTGTGGTTAAAACTAGAACCATCAAATAAAAGGTTTAAAAGAAGAAAGATAATGATTACAAACGTCTGTCTGTTTATTTAAAACAAGATTATTAATGAAACATGTGAAATGCTAGTTAACACTGAGCAACAAATCTAATATTATGGGGGAGCTCAGAATTGCAACAAAAGCAAAATCAGTTCTCGTCAGCTCAGCAAAGTAGATAACATGATATAGCAAAATATTACTTATACTTTCAGGGCATATACGTAGATCATAAAATACATTAAAATTATTACTGTGAAATGTACACGTTACACGCAGCCAGGGGCGTTAAAATTTCATGATTGCCTGACAATATTATCAAAACAGAACATTTTGTATATAAATCAAATAAAGTAGACAAAAACTTACATTTTGAAGGGCCTTATCTTTTTCTTCTAATTTGTTGTTAGCACTAGCGAGTTGCTCCTGGACCTGATCTAATTCGTTCTCAATCTGTTGGATTTTCTTCTGAAGAGCCCTGACTTCTTCTTCTGCCTACAGCAAAATTATAATGGTGAGTTGCTTCTGAAAACAAAGTGTGACAATATTTTCCTAGTGTTTTTTCTAATATTGTATTTTAAAACTATTTTCTTTGCTTATAAGAAAGGCAAAAATTCCAATTACATCTCCAACAACCTATACTCGCTTTCTCTGCCAAAAGCAGTGTCATATTTCTAATTAGTTTTGGCCCATACATGATAAGAAATGAAAATATAACTAGAGAAGAAAAAAGAAAAAATAACATTATAGATATCTGTGTATAAAAGTAACTCAGTATAACTTCGAATAACCTCTTCCTTCTCCTTAGAGTCCCAGTAGTGATATATCAAACTTTTCCAGGATTTATGCATCTGTCATAAGGTCTAACTTTACTTATCGAATCCTTACTTTGGAGAAATTTAAAATATAATGCGACCAAAACTTGCAATATAATTGTCTATACAAAAATGTATAATTATATTTGAACTTATGCTTCCTGATTCTGCAATCTTAGGTCAACGTCTCGTCCCTTTCCTTTAAAATTAGATAAAGGTGATAACTTTTAGGCACTTCTTAATTATTTTACACAAAGGTATTGCTATATATATATATTGTCAGTTTACTTCTTGGTCATAATTTGTAGTCTTGAAATCGTAACGTTTATTTATTTTATATATTTTTTCTGTAAGTATCTAAGGCGAATTCAGCTTTCACATTAAATTCGACACGCGCAAGTCTGTTTAAAAACCTAGATTTAAATATTTTCTAGGTCATGGCAAATAATAACTCTATAAGCAAAAAGTATTCTGCTTACAAGTAATCGAGACTTATAGTGTTTTCCTATTCTTTTATTTGCGAAACTGTTCAAATTTAAATGTCATTAAAAACTTTGTCTGAAATCACTTAAGAGTAGATAATATGTACACACATATATATATATATATATTGCTGTAAATTTAGTCATTATGTACACATAATACTTTTTAGAGATGCACATGTGAATTTATACTAAGTGTTTTTTTGTTACTAATTATAAAACTTGGATTCACGTTTTTTTTTTTCAGCTTTGCTTACTATATGAAAAATCCAGGGAAATTAGATTACATGATAAAGTTTATATATAAATCTCCTAAGGTGGCCGAACCTCTTGAGATATTATTAGGATTACGGCCGAAAATATCGATAGCAGTGATACTTTATAAGTAAGAACTTAAGAACTGTATATTTAATTAGCTGTACTCATTTTTAATTATGATCTATGTAAGAATATATATATATAGTTTTGACTAAAAGTCAAGATTAATTATTTATAAATGTTATATATGAATTGCATGCGGGTTAAACATTTAATGTAAGTGAACTGTACATACAATGATTTATTGCATTAAAAAAGCACGAATGAAATACATATCTATTTTATGTAAAAAATGTTACGTTATGGTTTCAGCTTATAAAACAAACTATTTAGTTAATTTTACATTGTTTCGGTTTTTTCACTAAAAATAATGCTTTTATTGAAAAGTCAGCCTTAAATATCACCAAAATCATAGGTAGGTGAGAAATATAATTTAAAAGCGCCGAAAGGAATACTCTGATGATAAAAAAAACACTACACATTCTGAAGTTAAACTAAAAACCCTATTGATTCTTATAACTGTCAAAGTCTTATTTCTTCGTATATTTCTAAAATTTCCGAAGTAGCCCATTGAAGTCTTTGTAACTGATACTGAAATATTACGTTACTTTGAGAATTTAGTCTCACCTATACTTAATTTTAAAATACAAATACGGTTAATATATATATATATATATATATATGCTTCTCTTTTTGACCTACAAAGAAAGCCTCTACTTTTTGATTAAAATAAAAAAATACGTGTTTTAAATTTTTTCGGAACTTCAAATCCATTTGGAATGCTTGTTTTCAGAAAAAGTTGGTCCGCTGTATAATATCGAAGAATAAAGTAGACGCAATGTCAAACATTATTCACATACCTAAATTAACTTAGGTTGCTGTATGGTTAATTAAAAAAGGACTCAAAACTCCATAAACGTTTTAGATATATATATAATTATATGTATTTCACAGTGGAAGTTGAAAGGGAAATAATAAAAACTTCAATGGTTTAGTTTTCTAACATATCTTGCAGTAGAATTTGAGTTTAAAAAAATTCTATTTAACCCTCCACCGAAAGCTAAGAAGGGTATTGGCTCTCCTGAGATCATGGCCATGTATAGTATAGAGGGCTATTTTTAGGAAAAGAAGGATACTTCTTTAGCGGTTAACTCCGTTACATGTTGCACACTGTTTTCTTCTTTTCAGAGGAAAGAAATTGTTTTGAAGCTGTCTTTTCTTCTTTAAATGCACGTATATGTGGAGCGTGTAAATACAATTAATTACGTAACAAGAGGGTTGCGATGATGACTTGGGGCGTGGCACTAGTATAATCGTCGTCAGTTACATTTTCCAAAGTAAAAGCAATAATATAGAGATACATTTATTTATAATTTCATCACCTACAAAGAACGGTCTCTACTTTTTTTTTGATTAAAATATACATAAAAAATATGCATTTTAAAAATTTTCTGCGGAACTTCAAATTGATTGGGATTGCTTATTTTCAGAAATAGTAGCTGTGAATGTTTTAGTCGATTGTATGTTTGCAACGAGAAGTATAAGTTCATTTAATTCGAAATCAGAGATGTATTAGAAACTGGAGACTTACTTCTAGTTTTTCATTTAGCCTTTTTTTGAAGCAAATTCTTGTTATTTTACTTAATTGTCTTATCCAGTAAAATAACAAAGAGACGAGTGTTTGTTTGTTTTATTAACTTTTGCGCAAAGCTATTGGAGGGTTACCTGCGCTATTCATCCATAATCTAGACAGGAGGGAAGACAGCTAGTCAACATCATCCACCGCCAACTCTTTGGCTACTGTTTAACAACGAAAATGGGATTGACTGTTACATTATAACGCCCACGAGGCTGAAAAGACGAGCATCTTCAGTGACGAGATTCGAACCGCAGATTGTAAGTTGAGCGCCTTAACCACCAGACCATAGAGGCCCAAAATCTGTTTTCATGGTTTTGGTTTCAATGATAGAACAATTTACCATCTTGAAATTTGTGTATGCTTAAACTTACTTAATTATAAGTACTATCGTAGTATATACAGTTCATAGGTTAGCTCGGCAGCATAATATTTAAGGCAGTAAAAGTTTCACTTAAGTTGATACATATTTACAAATAAATATTGTTTTCAAATCTAGTCATTGGTAAATTAAATTGCCCTGCGTAATGTAAAGTGTCTTATCCACCAAGACTGACATATATAACTTTATAAAATATCAACTTATCAACTGTTATGGTGTAAACGTCTTTTAGAAGCTGTTGAAGCGTGATATAATTAAGAATATTTGTCATAAGACATTATGTTAAGCCTATTATATCTTTTAACACTTTTATATATATGACGAATATAATGTAATTGAAATACACTATTATACACTCTGTGTAGAATTATGCACGGACTTTTCTGAACGTTAAAATATTTAATTTTGCGATCTTTCGGCCGTCTTATCAGACCCTTTATCGGGCATATTGCTGCACACGTAGTGTTAAAAGATAGGCCTGACATAATGTCTTATAACAAATATCAACTTAATTAGCACGCATTATCATGACGTTGTACAAGATCTGGAGATTTAATTGGTTTTAAACATAGAATCCATAAGCATTTGGGATTAGAGATATTTTATATCTAACTATAGGTAGTGCGCTATCAAACATAGAGTTAATTTTTAAAAATGTCTTTGAATGGGTTCGTTTACGCTTTTTTTTTCTTTTTTTTTACAAGATGTAAAGTTTGAAAATGCATTTTGGTCAAAGATTGTTTTCTATATTTTTGTGGCAAGCCTACCTTGTCTGCTCGAGCATTAGCGTCACGACACTGTTGCTCTGCAATATCGGCTCGGTCACAGGCGTTCTCTCTCTCCAACTTCATCGACTGCATCTTCTTCTTGATAGCTTCCATGGTGATTTGGTCGAGGAGAGATCAGCCGTGTGTCAAGAAGAAGTATTAACTTAGAGAAAACTGAATCGTCTCTGGTACTGGCAACTGATAATCGCTTCAATAGAACCTCTCCGGGTCATTTTCATTGGCTAGGGATTTCTTACGTCACTTCCTTTAAACAAACAAAGGCAGCTTTAAGTGTCGGGTTTCTGAGAGACTTCCTCTCTGTCCTGCTACGTCACGACCTGGCCCGGCTGAAATGGTTTTGTGGCCCACTCGGATTTCTAACAGAGCTGTTAGTGGTACCTCTCAAAGCTCAAAAACATGAACAAATATAGGGCACATCAAACTGGGACCACATTAGCTTTTTTTTTCTTGTGACCTTTGTAGAAGTTCGAATACTATTAAACCTATTTTTAATAATGTGTTGTGGATAATATGTTTGAGTTTTCCTAAGAAAAAGCGTAAATCTGAAGAAACGTATGTTTTAGGTATTCAGGTTCGGAAAAAACTCTCTTGAAAAATAATCAAATTTCAGTAAGCGTAAATGCTCTAAATAATACTTTAAACTTATTTTCTTTTTTATCCTATCAATACCTATCAACGAGAACATCAAAAACAAAACTATGTTTTGTCACAATTCAGCTATTTTTTATATACAAACTAGTATTGGGAACATGAAACTAATTCTATAACAGCAAACATAAAATATGTTCAGGCGTTTCTGAACTATTGAATGGATGCCATATTGTAAGGTGGGTCTCACATTTTAGATAAAATTTAAACAAATAGTTACTGTTGCCACAAATTCTTAAGTTTTAGTCAGAACACACGAAAGGTGAGTCGTAGATTTTCGAGAATGTTTAAGAAATTTATAAAAATGAAAATTTCTATAAACAGCTTTCCATTAAATATTGCTAACAAAGTATCTAAACACAGTAAAAATATTTATATCTATTCTGCAGTGTTTGATCATTTATTTATATGACGTAATCGGGCAAGGGCTAGTTGGCCCTGTGCTAGAGCTCTGGATTTCGGAGCTGGAGACACGTGTTCAATTCTGCCTGATATCTCAAAAATATTTCTCTTGCTTTAGGTTGTGAGTGCATTATAAGAGTAACAATCAATGCTTAAGGTGGTTATATGCTACTGAGCGGTGGCCTCCATTTGGTCAGAAGTTTAAGATTAGGGACAATAACAGACAGCCTTAGTAGTTTTCCCATGAATATAATATTTGATAGTTAATACATTACAAAAATATTCGATAATACAAACGGGGTTTTTATTGTAGTTCCGTAAGGAAATTGTATTACAAAAAACGATATTGCTAAATTGATTTTGTCTTCTGTTTGAACCACATACTAGAGGATAAAGAATAACGATGTTAAGGAACCTTTTATAACTCAGCAGATGAATTACTTCTAAATAATTTTACTATTGGAACAAATATACGAACCAAACAAAGTCCACAGATGGAGTACGTGTTTTGTTGTAGGATTCGTTGTTTGTAATTAAGCACAAAGCTACACAATGGGCTATCTGTGCTCTGCCCACCACGGGTATCGAAACCCGGATTCTAGCGTTGTAAGTCCGCAGACATACCACTGTGCCACTGGGGGGCTTGTTGTAGGATCAGTTGTGGTTGTTATTACTAAGGAAAATATGTTAAACCAAAATCATAATGTCTTTTAAGTTATTACGTCCTTCGTTTTTCTCGGAAACAGCGATATAAACAGTTGTTTTTTTTTTACCCATTTTAGCAAACATTTTCACAAAGTAACGATATATAATCAATATTCTATGTCCGTCGTACATAGAAAAGCGCTTAACAGACTAGATTACTTCCGATCTTAGTAAAAAATTCTTTTTCATTCAAAGCAGCAAAGACTAAAAGTATGATAAACGGTTAAGAAAGGTTTTCTCAAGTCGACCCAAGTGATAAGAACAATAAACGAAAGAAATTTTATACTTTTATCTGATTGCCTGATTAATATCTTATCAAATACAATTTCTATACTATTAATGATTGTTTTATATTTAAGTTTTGAATGCTCTGAACAATACGTCACATACAACGGTAGAAAGTAACTGTTTCCTATTTTGTTTGTTTGTTTGTTGTGAATTTC